TAAAAAGCAAACGTAAAATAATATATAATATAAATATATGCAAAACATATAAAAATACAGATATTTATATTATATATTAAAATATACATTTTCCTTCGAAAAGAAAAAAAAAAAAAAAAAAAAAAAAAAGAAAGAAACTTTAAGAGCTACTAGCTATCCTACTTTGAGAGAAGAGCATTTAAAATTGATTTATTTCAAGCTATGCATTGCATTCGAATGTAGGAGGAACCCAGCTTAGAAGAAAAAAAAAAGTGTTTAAAAAAAAACAAACAAATAAGATGGGAATTTGAAAGAGTCGCACAATAAAATGCGAAAAGAAAATAAAGAAAAGATAGTGCTCACTATCGGCCGGAGTGTCTTCCGAACAATCCCCAAGATATTTGTGGAGGCCAATTTGAGGACATCTCGAGGTAATCCGGTATCTGAAAAATCTTTCGACCTAGCCGAGACCGTCATCCTAACGCGGTACACTGCCCCCTCCTGACGAAACGAAACGAAAGAAAAAACCGTCGTTTAGTGCTCTAATTCTGTGAACCAACGTCCGGAGACGAGAATCGATAGCTTCGCCTTTTTTTCTTTTCTTTTTTTGTTTTTTGTTTTTTGTTCTTTTTTTCTTTTTTTTTTTCTTTTTTTCTTAAATAACATTTCTCTGCGTTTATTTCTTTTTTCTTTTTTCTTTTTCTATTTAATTTGTTGGTTTATTTCTTTTCTGTTGTTTTCTAGTATCAAAACCGGGCGCGAAATAGCATCCCGGAAAAAAGCGAATAAAAGGAACCAAAAAATGAAAGAAGCAAATTTACATGTTAAAGTCTGATTATTGTTGTTTCTCACCAACGAGGTTCCAGTCATCTCCGCACTGCCTCGTACAGTTTCCACGCTTTTTCTTTTTCTTTCCCTTGCCGCTAGTCGAGGAAGCTGTTATAGAAGCGTTGATAGCATCTCTTACTGCAGCTGCTTTGGTTTGATGAACATCTTCAACATTTGTATCCGTTCTCACCTTAGTTAACGTTACGCTAGTACCTTTCAGATTAATTCCATTCTCTGGAATTGGTTGACCTTTGGCCACTTTGCTTATTTGAATGTTTGCAAGACCAGCCAAACTAGGACAATCTGGCGTTAATCTTGATCGCAATTCGGCAAGAGTACTTGGTATCATTTCATTTGGATTACGTTTTACATTTACATTAATTGCGTCCAACGTCGCGGCATTTGATGGTACATCACCTTTCACTATGTAATCTGGTTTGGAAGGTGTTGCCAAACCCGCATTGATTGCTTGTTGAAGTGCTGGACTTCTTATAGTTACCATACCATTTTCAGAAACTTTGATTATAGCTGCTTGTTGTGTTGGTGGGACTTTCATCGGACCAAATGCAGGATTCCTTATCGTCACCATGTTTGTATTGGGATTGTGAAGGATTCTTGCTGAATCTTCCATATTCTCGATGTTAGTAGTACACTCTGTATTCTTAATTGCATTCTGCATCAAATTGCTCACGTTCGTAGAGTTCTTATTTTTCTTTTTCTTCTTCTTTCTCGTTATTGTTTGATTTTGACGAATATCTCTTGATAATTCTATTAAATAAAAACATATTGTTTTAATTTATGTGATCACTGATCATAACAAATTCATCATTCTGTATAATACTAATTTTACAATGAAACAAAACTTACCTATTTCATTTGGTTTTGGAAGAAGATCTTGTTTAAGTTTTCCAGTGTCTACTACAATGACATTGCCACCAGCTTGAGGACTGGCATAACTAGACTGAACTCCACTCATCGGAGCAGCTATGATAGTTGTTTGCTTTGGTGGACTAACTGGCTTAGGCAAAGTTGTTGATTTTAATGGAAATGGTTTAATGGGACCGTCAACTTTTGTTATCGTAATACCCGGTGGTAATTTCAGATTTTCTATATTGATTTTTGAATTTAAACTAACGTCTCGAAACTGCGAACTCAGTGTCATATTTATAATATCATCCGATGTAGAAGGTATCGTTGAGAATGATCCTTGTTTGATCATATTACTGCTATTATTATTATTATTATTATTATTATTATTATTTCCTTTAATTGGAACCTTCTGTTGATCATTCTTTACTGGTTTGTTTGTATTAGTTATATTTACAAGTTTCTTATTTTTATTACTATTCCCGTCGTTAGATTTGTCTTGTTGATTCTTTGTCTTTGTAACTGGTTCTAAAGTAATGTTAGATTTATACATATCCGTTTGCAATACATTATTAGATTTATTTGCTTTCTTAGATTGAGTATTTTGTTGTAAATTTTTACTTCTACTCGATACATTCTGTTGCTGTTGCATGACATTTTCTTTGGTTTCAGAATTCTTTTTATCTTTCTTAGATTTCATACTTTTAACTTCGTTAACGTTTTGCTGTTGCGTTTTTCTTTCATCGTTTTGTTTAATACCTTTTATCTTTTCGTTGTTATTTTGATACTTTGTATGCTTTGCGTCACACACTTTAACTTGCTGTTGTTGTTGTTGTTGTTGTTTTGTACTTGTTTGTTGAAATTTGTTACTTTGTATCGTTTCTGTATTATTAGATCCTTTATTCTTTTTCTTTTTATTATTACTATTATTATTATTATTACTATTATTATTACTATTATTATTACTATTATTACATACATTTTGTTCTTGGTCAGATTTATGCAAAGGTGCTTCCTTCGTTTGTCCATTCACTAAAGTAAATAAAACTTTATCTTCTGCAGGAGTTTGTCCTTTTAACGTTATCGTTACTGTCGGTTCTGCACTATTCGATTCCATTATTCTTTTAATCGTAACTATTTGTGGTTTATTTTTAACAGGTTCTGACTCAACCGTTGCATTCACTTTAGCTAATTCTTGCTTTCTAATTTGTCTTCGTAATTTTTTYCTTTCTTTCTTAGTCAATTGTTTGTCTCCTAAATCCATTGCTGCTAATTTATCAGCTAGACTATTGGCATTGTCTTTTGTATTTGTTGCATTAACATTTGTTATTCCTTTAAAAGCTTTATTGCTAAATTCAATTTTGTCATTTTTTATATCCATCTTATTTGTTTGATGATGATGATGATGTTGCTGTTGTTGTTGTTGCTGCTGCTGCTGTTGTTGTTGTTGTTGGTGTTGTTGATGATTATGATGGTGATGATGATTAGAATTGATTTGTTCTAATTTATTACCTATATTCATCATACTTTTCATTTTTAAATTTGCAATTACGGTAGGTGCCATCTTTATTTTGGTATTAATGCAATTAGTCATATTAATATTGCACATTTCTTGCTTATCCTTTTTCTTATTTGTTAAATGTTTTCCATTTGGTAAAGTGCCTGGATTATCAGTAGGCAAAATTGATACTTCGGGAAGTTTACACTGCGGTAAAAATCTTTGACTCTCAGGTTTTTCCGAATCAACAACTGTGATTGTTACTTCTGGTGCTTTCTTTTGCAATTCAATTAATCTCTGCTTTTCTATTTCTTGCCTTTCCTTCTTGATTTTCTCTTGCAACTAATAAATATTAAAAAAAAAAAAACATCAAATACAAATGAATTTATTTATTTTCTAATACAAAATTTGCTCATTTAATTTTGAATTACCAACCTTACGTTGCTTCTGCCTAGCCTTTTTCTCAGCTTTCTTGTTATTATCCTTTTTCCCATTTTGATTACCTTCAATAAAGTCCAACAATTCTTCTAAATTTCTTTGATCCCTCAAATCTTTAGGACACGTTCTTGGAACCGAAGTATTTGATCTCAATGTCAAATTGTTAATAATTGGTTTATTTTCTTGATTGACGTTGGAAAGTGGCAATGCTACATCCCCAATACTTTTTGGAGTATTGTAAGTAGCTTTACATTTTTTAGCTTTTTTCTTTGTTAATATTTGTCTTAGTCGTTCCCTCATTTCGTTATAATTTCTACTAACTGGTGCTACAGAAGGCTATTAAAAAAGAAACAAATGTATTATTTAAATAATTTTCAAATAGAACTAATTTGTTAGATTATCTATAATATTAGAGATCGATTATATTAAACGTATAAAATCATACATGATTTAAACTTACAACTCCGTGACCAAAAACTTCGCAATAACAACAATCACAATGTCTACTAGAATCTCCTCTTTGCGCTGAGCTACTAGTCGAAGAAGAATCTTCTTGACTACTTGCAGAATCAGAACAATCACCATCTCCCGAACTTACTGTATTTATAAATAATATCAATAATTATTACAACGAAGAGAGAGAGAGAGAGAGAGAGAGAGAGAAAAAAAAGAAGAGATATTATTAGGAAGAAATTATTGATTAGTACTAACAGTCGTTACATGATACCCTTTTGATCTGCTCGACATTTGTTTGTTTATGGCAAGCATGTGAATTATGATTGTTGTGATTATGAAGTTTGTGCGAAGACGCTGTACTTTTTGTTATATCCGAAGCAGATCTGTGAGTATATGGATGGGTTGTTGTAGTAGTTGTAGTGGTAGTGGTAGTAGTGGTACCTGTCGTAATACAAAATATATTCTTATGAATCTTCGATCGATAATAAATATCTTTAATAAATATTATAAAATATCAATTTCTACCTACTTGGAAATGTTATGCGATTATGATTTGAATTAGATGTTTGTGTTGTGGAATGCCTTGTTTGTGTTTGCGTCGATTGTGTTGATCCTGTTTTTATGACAGGTTTAGTTAACTCTTGATTACAATTAACTGCAACTGGATTGGATATTTCCTTAGGATGAGCGTTAGTATTATTAACCGCATGCTCCTCTAAAACTAATAAAAATATAAATCATTAATATAACGATTAAAAAAAACAAACAAACAAACGTATGAATTACTGAGATCAAAAAATAAATAGTAACTTTTTGTCAAACACGGGCAAGTATCCCATTTTCTTCTTGAATTTAAAATACAAGGACAAGGAGGTTCTTCTATTGTTTCTTTCTTCCTGTCAGCTATTTCTTTTGCATGTAAATAGACGCATTGACAAGGTTGTGGTACAGATGTCTGCGTATCTATTATATTTTCCTCTACGTTCTTTGAAACAGTATCTTTATCTTCTTTAAGATCAATCGTACCTTTGATCTCATCCAATAATCTCTTTAATTGAACTTCAGTAATAGTATTATTAGTAGAACTAAAGTTAATAAAATGTTCTGTAATAAAAAAAAAAAAAAGAATCAAATTAGATGTGAAACTATATTTTATCCTTAGAAAAATATTTGACAAATAATAATGAAGATCAATTGACTTACTCATCAATCCATTAGAGATGATGGGTAAAAAATTCACATTATCCATTGATGATTCAATACTTGCAACACCAATATGATCATTTTCACTCTGAAAATTGATTTTTCATGTTAGAATTGCATAGTTACATTTTATATGTCTAACATCATCGAAATATGTTAATACTTACTAATGAAGTTTTTAAAGGTATTATACATTCTTGACACGCACAATCATTTTCTTCTTCATCAATATTATCTTCTATAGATACATCTTTATCGTGACTCCTATAAATAAAAATACAAATATTTCTATTAACGTATATACTGTAGGATTAAATTATAATCTAATTCATAGCCTAGCCTACTAGTTTCCATCAAGATTGTAGTAGATCATTAAAGCCAAACAACATGGGCACGGTTAGTAAAATGGATAGAAGATTCGTTTGAAAAGAAAACAAAAAAAAGAACAGAAAAATTGTATGCTGTGGATTTCAGAGAGGTGGTAACAAAATATAATCTCTTTAGATAAGTATGAGAAGGTATTTGTAGAATACCCGTGAATCAAATCCGTAAAAAGCAACAAATAAAAAGATTCAAAATTATAAACCGACTAACTATTTTTATATACATACCTGACTCTTTTAATCGCAAATTGTTCTACTAAGTCATTTGATGCATGCGCGTAAGCCAAAGAGTCAGTAGTATCACTTTTATTAGGAATTAATTGTCCCCCGGTAAATTCCGTTGCAATATCATGTAACTTTTTTTGACGAGCTTCGCTCCAGTCACCCAATAAAATTTGAACTATCTCGAGACATTGAAAAATATTATGCGAATCTAAGGTAAGATCTGAAGTAGGACTCAAAGATCTATCATCTATATCAGATGTACTCAATTTCCCTTGTTCGATAAGTGCAGTTAGTTGCCCATCGATTTCTTGCAATTCTCTAAAAATTAATTATAACTAATTAATTATAACTAATTAATTATAACTAATCTAACGAAGCAGCTACGATACAGTTTTAATCGTACTTTTCACCATCCAATAATTTCATTATGTTTCGCATTTTCACAATTCTATTATTATCACGAAAATTTCATCTTCTAGATATATTTTGTATACCCTTTTTTTTACAATTTATATAGTAACAATTAACCCCTTGTACTCTAACAACGCATGAAACTTGTGATACATTTTATGATTGAAATATGAGAAACATGATTTTCATTCGTGATGGATCTTATGGGAAATAGCATGAAATATTGTACTAATTTGAGCACACAGATCAGAGCATTAAATCATAGTATAAGAAGTTAGTATATATTATTAATATATACTAAATCATTTATTATCTATTCGTATCATTATCATTATATTACCTGTTAGCTTTAGAAACATCACATGAGCAAGATTCTCTAATTCCTCTCGAAGGACTATGAACCGATAAAGATTTATTAGAAATATTATGAGAAGATATAACGGAGTTGGTTGCTACGATATTAGATTCCATATTCTCCGAATACACCGTCTCGCTGTCTGAAGTATCAACCTCACTCTCGTTAACATTCACGTTCTAAAAATATTATTAGAATAATATTTCATACAAATATAAATAAAAATATCATTATTTATGAACATTTTCATGGAAACGTACCATAACAGGAACGTAATCAGTTACATTGGTAGATGTAATCGTTTCCTTTTCTTCCTCTTCCTCCACCACCTCCACCTCTTCCTCTAACCCATTGATATTACCTGCTACATCAGTCCCCAATCGCAAATAATCATCATTGAAAAAATATTGGGGATCATTGTGCGTACAATTGGAATTTGTAAGAGTATCTTCGTTCATTGATGCAATGTTTCTTTCTTTAGCTCTTTCACACTGTTCTTCCTTGACGTCACTACCGCTCATTATTACAATTAATCTAATAGAACAATAACACAATAAAATATCAACCGGATTTATTTCCCGGTTAAAAATACAACTGATACGTTCTTTTTAATTTTCTACAAATTGCATTAACTACCGCGTAAACACCTGCACCGCATCAGTCAACACTTTACTCAATATGGCGTCCTCTCGCGTGTTGATCATGCGTAAAAGAGAATCTAGATAGAAAATCGTATTGATAATGCTATTGGTTGTCCGTGTAATTCTTATTTTCAACGCGTGATACCGCCACTATTGTCTTTTTATTAGGGATCTTGTAGGAGGAATGCGCCATGTACATTGCTGGGGGACCGGAACTCGATTTTGCGCGCGAATGATTCAAACATTGAAATAATTATGAAATAATGAATTGCATCAAATATAGAAAAAAAATAAACTATATTTAATGATAATTAAAAATTTATATTAAAATAGAATAGGTTACACGAAAAAATTATTATAAATTCAAGCAGTCCCCCAAAATTTTCAGCTAATGGCACATGAGCTGAATATGAATGGCTCATCCCTCCTACAGGATCCTTACTTTTTATTTGTTTTCTTTTTTTTTAAGTTTATAATAATGTTTAATTTTGTACGATATAATTCCTCTAAAAAAAGTATATAATTCATGATGAAAATAATAAAATAATACAATTGGCATGTAATATACTAATCAGATAGTATAGCAACACTGCAGCATTAGATGTTCACGTGATTTCAATATAAAAACTGTTTAATACACAAAACAAGACATATAAAATGCATTAGAATAAGACGTTCTATAAAAAAAACAAACATGTATGTAGATCACACAAGTTAGAATTGAAACCTTTAATAAATCAAGTTTCCAGAGAATAAGACGAGTGCATAGTTATCAGGAATAAGATATTTATAATATAATATTATTATAATATTATTTTGTACTTTTTTTTCTAATTATTTATGTAATAATTAGAAAAATGCGCGCCTATAAGGATGCAACCCTCCAAACACACTTTGAAAATGTTGCTTGCGAGCGCCATCTGTTGAGAAGGAATTTTTTCTGTCCGAAAGATAGGCAACCTGTCACACACACACGTGTATAAACAGTTTTGACTGCAACAAAATTCCGTCCAGGTAGATAGCGCTTGCAAGCAACATTTTCAAGTGTGTCTGAAGGGTTGCATACCTACAGGCATCATATTTTCTAAATAATGATACTAATTTAATTTTAATTTTGTAATTAGTTAGAATAATATTTAGTATCTTATATGAAAAGTAAATATTTAAAAATTGAAATTAATCAATGTAAGATATTTAATGATCGTCGTAAAAATAATAAAAAATTAGAAAGTTGTTCATAATTTTATTAAAGAACGATCCATGTGTCCTTAAAATCATGTGTATGTTTATGTTTGACTGAGAATGAGATTATAGTAAAATGTACAATTATACGAATCCATGCTTTAAAATTATACTACATACTAACTGTAAGAATGAACGCTTAATAAATATAAGTATATTCTTAAATATGTACCTGTTTACGTATCTAGTAATTATAATTTAAAAATAAAGGAAATTCATTAAAATGCTTCGATAATCACTATTAACGTTGTATAGATAATTATTTCTTTGGTATAAAGTGTAGATAAATTCCATCGGATGGTCTCAAAATAAGAGCACCGTAAAATTTAATGTGGCCTTCTTGTAGAATACTTTTCACTTTCCATTTACGTAAAATAGCGGCGAGGACAAATTTTTCTTCCAATTGAGCGTATTTTTGTCCAAGACAATTTCGTGGTCCTGCACTGAATGGTATGTAAGCATAAGGATGCCTGTTCTTTGAATTTTCAAGTAAAAATCTATCAGGATCAAATTTTTCTGGATCTGGCCAAATATCTGGATGTCGATGAGTACCAAAAGAACTTAAAGCAACAACGCAGCCTTTGGGAATGATATAATCATCTGAAACGTAATTTAATATTGTTTAATTTAAGTGGAAATTAGTGTTGATAAATATTAATACTACTTATCTTACCTATCTTTACGTCTTCGGATAATTTTCGTAAAAATCCAGGTGCACTGGGATACAACCTGAGGGCTTCTTTGGTTACTCTATCGAGATATTTCAATTGCGCAATTTCTTTTGTCGTAGCTGATGCATTCGAATCGCCAAAAATATCATCGAGTTCTTGATGCACCTTTTCTTGAATGTCAGGATTATTACCAAGACAGAAAAGTGTCCAACTAATAGCAGCTGCAGTTGTATCGTGTCCCTTTGCATTTCAAAACGTACAATTATTTTCTATGCATATACCATATAAAAATCCTGTATTTAAGTGTGTATAACTTACAGCAAACATAACTGTATCCACTTGTTCCCTTAATTCCTCATCAGTCATTTGATTTCCATCTTTTTCTCTAGCATCTAATAAAAGATCTAGAAATGCTTTCCTTTTTGGTTTACCTACGCGATCGAATAAAAATTCGTTTTATTTAAGATATAAACAAATTATAAACAACACTCACCTATCTCGTCAAAAGCTTGAACCTCTTCGTTTATATCTTTTAACTCTCGCGCTATTTTCTTTTTTTTTATTACCTGCAAAACAGTTTTATTTCATATAATTATTAAACGACAATGAAATACCTAACATTATCGTTCAAAATATTATTTTATTATATTACATTTCTTGTAAATGTATGCATCACGTTGATTGCTGCATAATATTCTTTTCCAACTTTTGTTAAAGCGAAAACCCAATCCCACGCGAGCCAAGGACGAAATATGCGATGCATCAGTAGTTCGGTAAATCTGAAAATATTTGTATGAAAAGAAATAAATAACTATCACCGGTATATTTACTATAAAGTGCATTGTTATGTGTATAGGGTGGTCTTATATATAAAATTATTCAATGTACCTATGAACGGCCTTGCCATATTCATTTTCAGTATCTTCTTGCATGTTTATATTAACTCCCATTGCTGTTTCTGAAATAAAAAATATGCATATTCAAAGTCTAACGAGTTATAGTGTGATCTCTGAATAATAATTTAATTATATAATAAAATGTAAACAACATTTTACCGCATATAACATCTAAAGTGCATCGATTAGCATACGGAAAAATATCAATGGGATCTTCTGGATTTTCCTTTAATTGTTTTTCAAGACATTTCACAAAAATGTCGGCTTTCTCAGACATCACCACTGCGTACTGTTCTAATATATTAAAATGAAAAGCCGGAGTAATCAATTTTCTGTCTCTCATCCATTTGTTTCCTGAAATTTACAAAATCAACCTTATGAAAAATAATCAATTTGTTTAACATGTAAACATTTTGAATTCTCATATAATTATACAATCATTTTACCTGAAGCTGTTAGCAATGCTTTTCCTAACCACGGTTCCAAATATTTATAAAGTGGTGCCTTCTGAATATTCGTAGTACTTCGTAAAATTATCTAAACAATAAATTTTCATTAATCAAACAAATGAAAAATTATCAATTTATATAATAATATATTAATTACTTCAACGTGTTCGGGTTTATGTAAATGAACGGTAGCCTCGTTTCCCAACCAAGTACGAAATAATCCATCCTTGTATCTGACCGAACAAATTTGTACTTTCAATAGTCGATCTGTAAAAGTAAACAATGATTTAAAGTTAAAAATAAAATTACAAACAAGAAGAAGAATGAAGAATATGCATAAATGCACAAGAAGAAAAATATAAAAAAAAAAGAAAATAAGAAAAGAAAAATATTAATTCCTTATCTATCATTCATAGAACAAAAACAGGAAACAGGAAACGGTATTAGAAAAATAAATAGTTATCAAATAAAACATTTCGATCGATAATAAACGATATGTAAGAATAATTTTTAACATTTTTCTATTTCTCTCTCTCTTTCAAGTTTTTTGTATTTATATTATAAAATGATTATAATAATAATAATAATAATAATAAATTAAATGAATGAAATGAAAGAAAAAGAAAATAATTGTATGGTATCTGTCTTTCTTATCATTGGTGTGATCCCAGGGTTAATGAAATGTCATCAATGCACGTGTGTTGCATTATCCAATAAAATAATGCGCATAAAGAAACGAGAAATAAGTCATTTTTATTAAAGATTATGTTCATTTGATAATAACTTCCGATGAGATTATATCATGATAATAAAATCATTGATTTTTCATATTTTCATTTAGTATAATCGAATTAAAAACAGGGGGGATGGATAAGATGGTATTAAGTGATTTAAGAAGAGACATATTCTCGTAAAATTATGTGTGTGAATAGAACGAGATAAAAAAAAAAAAAATAAATAAAAATTCGAAAAAAAAAAACGGAAGCATCCTTGTTGAATTATCACAACTAATCCCCCAAGTTACTAATACCAACAAGTTTAATTCATCGCAATTTATGATAATTAAAGTTCATGCTCTTGATGACACAAAATAGATAAGTGGTTGGATACGAAGGTCACACAATCAAAGTTTTAGTGACACTTTAAATAAATAAATTTGTATGCACTCACATACATATATTCTTTTTTTATTTCTATAAAATCATATATTATATTCCTTTATTTTTAATATTATTTAAACGTGCATGCAGGTATTTTTATGACGATTTTTATATCGTCCGTACAAGTTTGTTTTTTTATATTAAAAATTGGAATGACACTAATCAAGTGCATTCCAATCATTTATCGACTTTTATTTCGAATTTATTTTCCTTTAACAAAACAAATCAAGCAACCAATATTAAATGTTAATAATTAAATGCGTTACCTTCTTTTTTTAATCTCCTCGCAGAAGATCCGCTACCAAATAAAATGTTACCTTTCGGTCCTGGAAGTTTATTGATCGTTTTACGAAAAATATATGCACTGTATAACGCAAATAATATTTTAATGAAAATAACAAGGCTTATGCAGCCTAATATTAAAAATGAAGAATTCATTATTTTCGTATATCAAGTATATCGTATTATAAGCTTAACACCGACAATATTTAAATAGTAATGAGCAGTAACGACGATCAACTTGCGAACTGTCCTTTTAATGCATCATGCAAGAATGATACATATATAAAGCATCGTCAAGATTTTTTTTATACTTTTCTATCGAATCACGTAGATTCAGTGTCACACTAACGACATTCTCGGAAACGTTCATTGGTGAATACTTTACATAGTAGTAATAATAATAATAATAATAATAATAATAATAATAATCATAATGTCAATAGTACGTGTTAAATAAAAGTGATTTAACTTCGAAGATTTTTAATAAATTTTACAAAAGAGAGGGAGACTTAATTCGTTATAGTTTAATACGATATTATATCATTCACGGACTGAATGATAATTAGAAAAAAGATAATATAAAATGAATGAAAAATTAATTATATTATTTCTTATCCGTTTAATTCAGATTAACTGCATTATTGTGATGTATTATATTTCATATCCATTTATCTATTTATTTTATAAATAAATATAAATGAAATCCAAGAGAAACACATATAGTTGTTTGCATCTAATTTACTTTTTTAGTTTGTTCTTTTAGAAAGAATTTGTTGCATTTTCGTTTTCAATTATTATCGAACCAGGATGGTTCGATGACGTTACATTTAACAGGTGGCAAAGGTATGGGAGTTGTTGAAGGAAGTGATGTGGGTAAGAATTCACCAGGCCAAAGATGAACAGCATCCAAACATAATAAACCAATCAAAATACCATGCATTAATGGTGCCAAAATGGTCAACAATCTTCCTCTTGTACGTATTTTCTGTGGCCAAATAAATATTAGTCGAGAACCACCTAAAAAATACCAAAATCAAACAATTTAGTACACCATAGTAATTGAGGAGTTTAAATAAATAATAAAAAAACACCTGTGTTCCGTCTAACAATCGAGGAACCAACGTGATGGGGATTAACACCTGCTGGTGCACTAAAAATCCCATTTCCAAGGGAAGCTTTTTTTTTTCGATAACTAAAAGCTCGACCACCACTTGACCGTTGCAGTACATGATTACTATCGAAATCTTTTTGTTTATCATAAATCGATCGTATTGATTGCGATTGTGTACTTAAAATGCTATCCTGAACAGTGCTTGATACACTAGTTAATGAGGTTTTATCATCTTCTTCGTTCCTTTGACGCACAAGGTCGATCCATTTATCATACCGACTAATTATTATAATAATAAGTTACAATTAAAATTTATAAGTTACAATTTAAATAATGACAGCTTACAATTCAAAGAAAATTATTTGAAAAATAGTCATTATAATGCAAAAGAAACTTACTTCAATTTCGGGGAAGAAGAGACAGCATCTTTATTACATCCACGAATTTGCTCCAGATTTTTCGTTTATCCACAATTATTCGCCAAATTTGATTTTTCCAATATGCAATATATATTTTTTCTGCCAATTATCTCATTTAACGTGAAACGCGATATCTCTGGACGACATCGCGTGGATTATGGCGTTAATTGCATAATTATTACTCTTATTATTATCGTTATTATTATATCATGTTTATTAAGAATCGAGTATGACAACCGCTCGAATTTCATTCATGTTATTTCGTCGAATTAAATTCGCGCATTTTATTCGATAAAATCTTCCTATTCGTTTGTTGGTAATGTCATTTCATTTAAAATTATTTAATTTGTTTTATAAACATTGAATTTAACGCTAATTTATCTTACAATCTTTAACATGCATATGCATATTTTCATGGCTTTTTGACAAAACCAACGTATCCAAATTTTTCAAGTTAGCGATTTAACTTTTCGAATTATTATCAATTTTGATCATTATTTTCACGTTAACGCAACTAATAAATTATGGCAATGTTGTATAAAAATTGTAAGTAACCTTATTTAAATAAATACAACAAAAATTTATCTAATAACAGCATTTGAAATAAAATGACATAATCAAATCGGTTGATTTGATTTTTCTTTACCAAACAGATTGTTTAATACCTTTAATATATTTACAAATTTATGTATGCACTTTATTCTTTTTTTTCTTTTGCGAAAATATATGTTACATGGCAATAAATCAAAAATGAAAGCTTGAAATGAACATTTTACAGATAGCAAATCCGAGACAAAAATGAACAGACAGTCGAAATCAAATCTGGAAGAGATCGCAGCTAGTATAGAAGAACGTCATTGCGATTTAACAGGACGACACAGATATCTGAGGGAAAAAATCACTACAATGGAAAGATCCATACCAGCACTTATGGCTTATAACATGTGGGTCTCTGGAAAAGACTGCGACGATGCACCCTTTTGCAAAATTCGTCAAATTATGAATAAGCTGTCGCCCGATTTAGACCCTACTGAAAAGTTGCTTCGTAATTTGAAGAGTACCATTAAGGATCTCAACAAGGAGACGACGGAGTTGCACGTACGACCCGATTGAAATTCAACATACGACGATTACGGGGTAATAAATCTCGTCAGTATGAAGAACAACATACAAACAGAACAAAATAAAAGGAAAATATAACATCTATCGTTTTTACAAAGTTTATAATTTGTCGTATTTCCATTGTTCATATTACAGGTTTTGCATTCGCAATTAACAAATTCTTATTTCAGTACTATAAATATTGCAATGCATCAAAATTATATCATTTATAATCAATTGGTATACGCTATTAAATCAATATTTGATTTATTTTATATCGTTTCTCGTATTAGGACAAAATTATTGACGCTGATATTAAATTAGAGGAAACCGAAATGCAGTTGGAATCTCTCGAATTGGAAAACAAGGAGATGAACGATCACGTTAACGAAATAGAAAAAGAAATTCGTAGTTATCAAAGTACAAGTTTGCATTCTATTCATTCGGAAGATCTCATCTGTTTGACAAAGATTCATCAGCTTGCTAAAGACGAATTAGAGTTAAAAAATTGTATAACAGTATTGGAAGAAAAAGAGACTTTGTATGCGGAACAATTGGATCGTTTGCTAGCTTCGAAAGAATTTCAAAATATTTCTGGTAACAATAAGATGTTGAAACGTATTCAGGATCTGGAAAGTAATGAGAGGAGGATGCATTGTGCTTTACAGTTTTACAAGAACAATGTGCAACGATTAAAGAAGGAACTTGTTAGGAAGATGAGTGATGTTAGTTTTTCTTTTCAATTGAAAATATTATTCATGACGCAAAAAACAAAGAGAAGAGTATAAAGATAAAAATAAAGACGAACAATTGTAATTATTATTTTTTTTTTTTCAGAGTTCTATAGATTCAACGACCGCTTTAACAACTTCTAATCAAACCGCACGAGATAAATCACCCAAGAATGAAAATAACAAAGAAAATAAAAAAGCTTCTTTAAAAAAATTCAAAGACCAACGAACTGAGATTTCAAATGAACAGACTGCCATTCCAAAAAATAAGAAATTAGCTTCAATTAACGACCAAAATTACGTACGTTAATAAATCTTTCTTTCTTTAGGGTGTTTCAAAATCTTCATCTTAATTATATTTATTACACAAATTAATTTCTACCGTAGGAATCAAAAGCATGTATTTGTCCTAATAAGAATAATTATGAAATTGGTTCGATGACAAAAAAATCGGCTAAATCTTTGAAGAATACACAAATATTCCCTTCTAACGGATGTCCTTTGAAATCAAATTATGCTCAATTTTCGCAACAAGATAATGAAAGAATAAAAAATGATAAATGCAAAATTTCGTGCCATTCCATTTTGTCGTACTCAAAGTATTTGCATGGATCAACAGCAGTGAAAAATCCTTGCTCGGTTAATCTTCCTTGTGATCTTCCTCCTTGTGCTATAATGAAGTCAAGTATGCTATTATTTTCTAATTGTTAAGAGAAAAAAATCAGAAAACATTCTTAACATTACTCGGAACATTCACAAGTCTTTCATGTATGTTTTAGTATGTCCAACAGCACCTTGCAACTACAAGGTTACATCTAATAATTCTTATATATCGTCATCGTCGTGCAAAAAATGCAATTTGATACGCAATAAAAATGAATGTAAATGCAATTGCAAAGGTAAATGTGCATTCGGATTATCCAGTGTACCCTGTAGATGTGGAGTCGTACCATCTTGTCCATTGGATAAAGGATATCAACCTGTAGCAAAATCGTTGTCGCGTAATTGTATAAGCAGCAGTGACAGCGATGACGAATACTGCGAATGTTGTTCTTGCGGTTGCGAAGACAGCAACGAGAATAATTCCTCTTGTTGTTGCAATTGAATATCGATCATTGTTTCATAAAGTAAACTTACATTGTTCTTTCTAAACAATACTTTTGGTTTAACAGTTCAATATTATCAAATAACATTGTAATATTATCAATACGAGTAATATCAAATTGGATTATACTACCGGAACATTTCACCCGTGATGCGAGATATTTATTTCATGAAAATTTATTTTTTATAATTATCGAAAAATACATGCGTAGAAAAATACGAACATTTATGCGTGGATGTAACTAAGAAAATAATTTGAATTATATATATCTTTTAGATAAAGTTTTATCTAGTCGTTTGAACTACGACTGAAACAAATCTCGTTTAATTTGCAGCATTATTTAAAAAGGTATGGCGAATGGGTAATAAGGACTAGCCTCGGATCTGAAAAATTACAAATCAAATATTAATACGTAATACGTAATACGTAATAATATTAATACATGTAAATATAAAAAAGAATAAATTTACCCCGTCATCGGGCAGATTCTTCCATTGCAATCAAAAGTATCGATGTAGGCAATATCCTCGGGCGTAAGTTTAAAATCAAAAATATTACTATTTTCGATGATACGTGATTTGGTTACGGATTTTGGAATAACTACATGTCCACGATCCAACTAAAATATACAATGCAATATATATTTATTACAATATTCAATATTTGTTTGTTTTACAATTATGAAAGAAACAAAATATCGAATACAACTTACTTGATAGCGTAAAAGAATTTGTGCTGCTGTCTTCTTATATTTCTTTGCAAGTTCATTTAACTTAGCATCATCCAATAATTTAGGATCATCTGGCTTGGCCCATGGTCTATCCGGCGACCCCAAAGGACTATAAGCTGTAATGACAATTTCTTTTTCTTTACAGAAATCAGACAATTTTCTTTGATTTAAATACGGATGACATTCGATCTGAAAAAAAAAGATATTTCAATTATTAACAATCTCAAATATAAATTTAAGTAATTAATCAAAAAATTCAACGTACTTGATTGGTTACCGGTTTAACAGTACAGTTACTAAGTAATCTAGTAATCTGTTCCGAATTAAAGTTACTGACACCGATGTTCTTAGTTAATCCTTTTTTTAATACACCTTCCATACCCTTCCATGTATCAATATAATCAGCTTCGCTAAAGTCAGGAGTACCATCAGATTTTTTTGGAAATAAGTCATCCCCTTCTTTGTAAGCGATAGGCCAATGAATTAAATAAAGATCTAAGTACTCCAGACCAAGATTGCTCAACGTAGTTTTAAGCGCAGGCTCAACTAAATCAGTTTTGTGGTAAGTATTCCAAAGTTTACTGGTAATGAATAAATCTTTTCTAGTGACAACTCCTTCATCAATCTTGGTTTTGATAGCTTCTCCAACTTCTTTCTCATTACCGTAGACGTGGGCACAATCAATGTGCCGATAACCAGCATCTATAGCATCTTTTACAGCTTGAGTAACTTCTCCGGGTTTTGACTGCAAAACATTCAAATATTATGACCCAAAAGAAGAGCGTAATCAAAAGTATGCAATACAACTTCAACAAGAATTTCATCATAGAGAATAAAAATAGGTTAACTCAGCGTTAGCCTTTAAATGTCTCATTTCTGAACTATAAAACTTTCAAATATATTCTTAGCGTATTCTTAATTATGATTATTTAACACTAGATAAACCAGACCAGTCATTTTAACTGGTCGCGCCATTTTAATTCAAAATTTCTACTTCATGTAACATTTGATATCTGTAAATATTTAAATATGTCTATAAATCCATTTATCTATTAAAATTATTATTGTTAAATATATTTTTTGTTATTTTTGAAGAGTAAATAAAGACTGGAAGGCTCAAAAAGCATTTTTTATACACCAGTCATTTTGACTAATGTGGTAGAAATAGATATACTGAAAATGGTGGTATACCTAGTGTAAATACAATTAAGATAAGCATTCATTTTATATTTAAATGACATTTCAATATTCCTAACATAATACATATTGTGTCTGTAACTATATTTAATTATATTATATAAAATTGATAAATAAATTTCTTTTTCCTTGAATCTAATAGATAGTTTGAAAATATAAAATACATCTATAACGTTTCTAAGATAATTATTTTGTTTTCTAAATACAAATTCATAATTATTAAATAATACATTTTTTTTTTCCTTTGCTTTTGTATTCATAATCGCAGTTTATCAGAAAATTAAATTGTAACCGCAATAATAATCATTTGATAATTCGATTATATAGTCTTTAAATACGTAATAAAAGTGACCTTGATTGAATCTTCTCTACCATAAGAAAATCTTAATTACTATTATACATATATATTATTATCATACATCACATATATAGTATATTATTAAGAAATATAAACAAAATATATATATTTTTTTCAATGGTTCAAATTATTCATGTTAGAAAAAGTATAATAATAATATATATTCAATGTCATAAAAGAATAAAAACTTTGTATTATAAAATTAATTTGATTTGAAACTTCGAATTATTATGTTAGAAAAAGTATAATAATATTTATATATTATCAATGTCTTAAGAATAATGAAAATTAATTTGGTGATAACGTACCTTCCATGTACCCAGTCCAAATTGAGGAATAGTATTACCGTTGTAAAATTTAACATTTGGTACGTTTAAAACCATTTTTCTTGTTTATTATTTTAATTGAACAATATCTCTATTCTTTAACGAAATTATTCGTTATAGAAAATACTAAACAATTTGAAGGATATGATAGTATAAACGGTATGCTACGTCAACGACAGAATATACTTCGCGAAAATGCCAATAACGAGTAAAGCGCAGCGGCACATTGCGTGTTGTATTTATAAACGTTCTGATTTCGATCACCCCACTCTTTCTATTTGCGATACTCCCCACCCAATTTCTCAATTAATCCTATGCTTTAATATTATATAGAGCAAACATTATTAACATAAACATTATTTTATTTAAAACTATAATATTATTGCAACCAATTCAAATGTGATTGTTGATATATATATATATAGCTTCTTTTTAAAGACTGCTTATTTAACATTAATAGAAAATTATTCGTTCTTATGATTCAGATTTAAACAAAAAATGTATAATATATAATACAATGATGAGTATACTAGTAAGATGTTACGTAACAATAATTTCCTTGTTTATCATACGTCAGATATTGCGTATAAAGATTTCCTTGTGCTTAGCAAAGAAACTGGTCAATTCTTGTAAGAGAACAGTATGGAAAAGTACAGAACGGATGCTACTACCAATGATAGTAGTGAATAGCTATTAGAAGAATTCTATAATGCCAGTTGGAGCGGTAGACCATCAAAGGATGAAGCCCTCTTTTTTTATCCTTTACTACTGTCAATGTAATATATGTGTGAGTGTATTAGGGGAACCCTTCTTTAGTCCATTTCATATTAAAGTGGGAGGAATCAAGGTCACCCTCATATATTTTGCTATACTTCTTTCTTCAAGATGGTACAAGTTAAACACTAATTTTGATTATTGATTTTTTTTTAATTTTCTTTTACTATAATAATAATAATTATAAATATTGTTTTTTTTTTATTGATTGAAAATTGTTAAATATTTGACGACAGTCTAATAGAAAAGTAAATAATATTGTACATATAACGATGAAAAAAGAAGTATGACGCTCACAATTGTTTAAAAGTATTTTGAAAAATGTTAATAACGTTTGCAATTATTTCAAATTATTTTCAAAATATTTTACGAGTTAATATCATTCAAACGTATTCGTAAAAATCTTACAGAATACACAAACGTGTAGAAATTTCATTTCTACGTGACTTATCAAACAAATCAATTGCTTTATTATTTTTGTTAACAAAATAGTACTGCATACTTTGTTTAACAATTTAACGTGTAATATCGGTGGTAACAAAAAGAAGCGATAAAAATATAAAAGTTATTTTAACATTATTATCACTTTGTAACATTAAAGATAATTTTGACGAATGTACGTCGATAACAAAGAACGTGGTTTATGGTAGTTTGTGTTTTTTTTTTACATTTTCTTATTTGCTCACTTATCAGCAGTCTTAATTATTCGAAGAATAAAATGTTACTTTTTTTAACATATTCATGATTTTAAATGTATTTCAACTATCAAACTTCAATTAGATTTGAAATAACCTTGCTGTTACATTTACAGAACAGGAAACAATGGAAAGTACCCATCATTGGTACGATTTTATTACGAATAAATTTGTCTTTGTCTCTCTTGATTTATTAAGAACAAAGACATTGTCCTTGTTCACATTAGTAAGAGACGGAAGAAGGGGGGATTAGACAGAAAGAGGGAGAATGGATAATTTGGCAAGTTGATTGATAAAATCATCCTTAAAAAGGGTTCTCACATTGTTCTTTCAGTCTGAGAATCTAACATATAAATCATATATTTCATTCAATTCATTTTTTTAAATAATCAATTTGATATTATCTTAAATGATAGATAAAACAATATTTATAATTATAATTTTTATAAAGTCATTTGAATTCGTTATATTATATATGTAGCGTTAATGACTTTATAATATTATCCTTCATTTTTGTATTATACTTTACTTGATTATAAAATAAAATTAAAACATAACTTACAAATTATTTACCTCGAAAACAAGAAGAAATTAAAATGAATGAATAGATTAACAGAGCTCTCTGCAAAACTATCATATATCTCTCTATATTCCATGAATTTTAAAATGGAATAGAAAATGGATAATATTTGTGACCTTGTACTCTGAAAGAAAAAATGATATAGAAAAATATATTAATTAATCAATACATTGATAAAGGTTTATATTTTAATTAAAGATATTTTATATTTACTCTGCTGATGGTGCTACTCTTTCACCAGTACCAATCGCTTTTATAGCAGTCATTTCATCCTTTGTTAATTCAAAATCAAATATTTCCATGTTTTCTTTAATTCTACTTTTAGTTACCGATTTAGCAATTACTGCTGCACCTTGTTGATACTAAAATATTATTATTATTCTTTCAATTGATATTTATATTAACACGTTAAAGAAAAATATTACCAAACACAATGATAAACTTACAACATATCGAAGCGCTATTTGTGCTGATGTTTTTTTATATTTTTCAGCTATATTAATAATTACTGGATTATCCAAAGAATTTTTAATACCTAATCTATTTCCAGGTCTTCCAAGAGGCGAATAACCACTCACTACGATATTATACTTTTTGCAAAAATTAATTAAATTTTCTTGATTAAGATTTACGCTAACTTCGACCTAAAAAATAATACAAATTTAATAAACTATGAAAAATGAAGAAACTTCATAGTAAATAGTATTGATACATACTTGATTATTTACAGGAATAAATTTAGCGGATTTTACCAATCGAGTTATTTGTTCAGAATTAAAATTACTGACTCCAATACTACGAGTTAATCCTTGTTGAACGCATTCTTCCATACCGCTCCATGTCTCAAGATAATCGGTATCTGATAATAAAAGTTTACCATCCTTGTCTTTAGGTATTAATACGTCTCCTTCCTTAAGAATGAAACGAATGAAATGTTTTAGTTAATACACATTTGTAATATAATATTTTAATTTTGTATACTTACTTGATAAGCAAATGGCCAATGAATTAAATATAAATCAATGTAAGTCAATCCAAGATTTTCTAAAGATTGTTTACAAGTTACAACTACACTCTCTTTCTTGTGACGATTATTCCATAACTATAATCCGAATATATAAATAAAATAGATTTAATAAATCAAAATGAGAACATTTCTGTACATGTTATTTTTGCTTGTAATTATTTATTTTCAAATTTTACCTTCGTAGTAATAAAAAGCTCTTCTCTTGTTACAGTTTTATCATTGATTTTTGCTTGTATCGCAGCACCAATTTCTTTTTCATTTTCATAAAAGAAAGCTGTATCAATGTGACGGTATCCAAGGTCAATAGCATCCATAACAGCTTTTTCCACTTCTCCCGGTTGAGACTGTTTTTTTTTTTTTTTTAAATGAATTGTAATTAATAAGATAATGTTTCAGCAATTCAAATTTCCCACCCAAGATGCTAATGAAATCTAACCTAATTTCATTGAAAACATATATTGTATAATATATAATGTTAATATCTTACCAAATAAGTTCCTAAAGCAAACATCGGCATTTTATATCCATTTGCAAGTGTTATGGAAGGAATTTCAGCCATTTTTTTAAATGATTAACCTCAACAAACTTTTAATTGATACGTTTAACAGTATGTAGTTGCACAGCTATTTTCAATCTGTATTATCTATCATTCGTCTCTGCTATTTATCAAAGAGGTGTTATATAACCATTTTGTAGATATAAGATATAAATTTAAAAGAATATTGATAATCATCTTACCATGTCGATAATTATGTTATTTTAAACTGCAAAATGTAAATAAAAAAAAATATGCTAACGCAATACCAGTATAAGATGATGTCTTTTTCTTTTATTATTATTATTTTTAATTTTTTGCTTAGTAAATTTATTAAATAATCAAGATAAAGATAAGATTTATTAACAAAAATGTATAAATATAAAATAAATATCAGTTGTTAAAAAATATAAATTATCAGTTATATATATATGTATATATATAACTGATAATAACAATATCATTTATTGATATTGATTTATTGATTAAAATAAAATAAATCATATAAACAATTATATCAAATAAAATGCTTAAAATTCTACATTAAATGGGTAATCCTTGTGTTTCTCGAACCTACAAAAATATATTTATAAAATAATTATTAAAAGAATATTTTTATAATAATAAACTTACTCTTTAGCTGAACAAACTCTTATGCCACAATCAAATTGATCAATAATCGCTATTTCTTCGGGAGTAAGTTTAAAATCAAAAATATTAATGTTCTCTTGAATGCGTTTTTTAGAAGCAGATTTAGGAATCGGAATGGTACCAATATCAACCTGCAAAATAATATTTAATTTCAAACACAAATATTTCAAAATAAAAAGTTTCTTTTAACGATATACAAATATATATATATATATATATATATATATATATATATATCAATTTAAATACCAAATATCTGAGTATAACTTGTGCCGATGTCTTTCCATATTTCTTAGCAATTTCTTCAGTCTGATTGATGTTAACTTGTGGATCGTCAGATTTTGCCCAAGGACGCATAGGTGAACCTAAAGGACTATATGCCGTAATAGCAATGTTACGTGCTGCACAAAATTCTCTTAACTTCTTTTGATTCAAATTAATATGACATTCGACTTGATTTATTACTGGTTTTATGGTTGCCATAAAAAGTATACGATCAATTTGAATTGAGTTGAAGTTACTAAGACCAATGCTTTTGGTTAATCCTAAATTAACGCATTCTTCCATGCCTTTCCACGTTGTAGTATAATCAGTATGTCCATACTTAGGATTACCTTTCTCATCGACTGGCCAAAGTCCTTCTGCATCGTCCTAAAACAAAATGTAACACTTTCATTAAAATCAATAACATCTACCAATAATATAAAAATGTCTCAAGTCAAATGTCTTACCGCATAAGACACAGGCCAGTGTATAAGATATAAATCAATGTAATCAAAACCAAAATTTTTCAACGACTGCTTACATGCAGGTACAATTTTTTCTCTTTTATGCATTGTATTCCATAACTATAATAACAAAAGTTAATAAATAATACAATGTATTTAGGTATGTGAAACTTAATATAAAAATAATAATAATATACCTTCGTTGTAATATAAAGATCTTCTCTTTTAACAACACCTTCAGCAATTTTTTCTCTCAAAGCTTTCCCTATCACTGCTTCATTTCCATATATATAAGCACAATCAAAGTGTCTATAACCAGCATCGACTGCATCTTTAATTGCTTGTTCGACTATTTCTGGATCATCCTGTTATAAAGAAAAAATAAAATAATTTTAACAATATGTTTACTGTTAATAAATTAGATGAATATTTGAATTTGAAGTTTCAAAATACTTACACCACCTTGCCAAGTACCAAGTCCAAGTACTGGAATTTTTGTACCATTGTTCAAAGTCACAGTTGGTGCTACTCCTGGAGATGCTTTTGCCATACTTGTCGATCGATGAGATTACAATGATTATCAATATGAAATTATTGTGTAAAAGATTATATCAAATGTATCTATGTAAAAGGTGAATCAAAACATATATTACTATCTAAAATAATCTATCAGGTAACTGTTGTATGAAAAAAATCATTTTAATGAACGATATAACATAAGATTGAATTATTTTTTACAATACAAGATAACCTTGAAAGAATTTCAGACTAATGTATCTTTATATGGTTATTAATTTTTATTTTATACCATGGTACCGATAGAGGGACGAATTCAAAACTAATAGAAAATCAATTGACTTACCGTGTATATACATATACAAGGTGTTCCGTAATTACATGATCAAACTTTTTCAATCAATTTTTAAAATATTACATAATTTTGATCTTTCAAATTTAAAACACATTGTACATAGATAGATTTTGATATTATAAAAAAAAAAAAAATAAATTGCGATAATTGAAGTGTTATTTCAATTACATTATATGTTACTAGATAATAACTACGCAACAAGTGTTTTTTTGCGATGTTATCTAATACATATAGGATAGTAATTTATATGTATCATATACATCCAATGTCGAACATAAATATTGATAGAAATAAAATTTTCCTATTACATTTTTTTCTATAATCTATAAATATGATTCTTTAATTACAATGTTTTTTTTTAATAAAATATATTTTATGTAAATCAATGTTTCTCAAATTTTGTTTACTTGAGCTCTAATACTCTTTTTAATCTTTATTTATTAACTATTGAAAATTTGTTTCTTTTATTCTTTTTTTTTTTTAATTTTTTTTTTATTAATATTTTGTATTATTTAGAAAAAGCTTGAAATATTATTTTTGAAGAATATATATATATATATAATTGTTATCATACCTGATTTATGCGAGGATAAAATAATACCTGTTTATGTAACGATCTCGTGCAGAATACTACAAAGCAACGTTGTTCGCAATAAAATGATGGAAGAACCGATGTTCTTACTGTATATGTATATTTATTGGTAGATGTATATAGATGTAAATGTATACATGTATAGACGCGTGATAAATCTTATGTCCAATTATATTAGGTATTGTGGTAATAGTGTCAAAAGTTAAAATGAACGATAACATTTTACGTAATGTTTAATCGTTGATTTTAGATGGAAATAAAAAAAATATATATGTATATATATATATATCAAATTTACAAAATTATGCATGATATTTGTAATTTTTTGTTTACATGTATAGTTATATATTTACAAATGTAATGATTATCTTAAGTCTTGATTATCGTACGAGTATTTCTATTTTTACATATCAAATATTTGTACATTATTCATTTATTGTAATAAAAATAACTACACATGTATGCATGTTTGAATTCAGTCATTTCATATAATGACAAATCTTGTAATTATAATTTCATTACAATATATTTTCTTTATTATCAATATATATCTCACTTTTTGTTTTTCAATGAATTTCTTGTTGTCTTGCTTAAAAAAAAAAAAAACCATTTTCATTTAATTGTTATTCATTTTAGCACGCGTAAGAGGACCCCAATTTTCGACTGGATTTTCTGGAAACCTTAATAGCCCAGTTCGTCGAGAAAATGGATTAGCTTCTGGATGTAACTCGAATGATATATTTAGTTTCATTGGAGAATCCAAAATATTTAATGCTTGATGTTTATTTGGCACGTTTTCCTTTGGCCTTTTAGCCGGATGAAGTTTTTCCCATGCACGTACAATATCCCATATGACATCAGTGGGAGCATCAGTTTTAATAGAGAATTTATTTGCATGTGAATATGATACTTTGTATCCGGCATTTAATAATGCAGATCTGAATAATATCATAGGCGGTGTGATGCATTTGACCAGAGACATTATGCGGTCAAGGGTATAATACAAAGGTATATCTAATTCTTCGTTTATCATAGTTAATACCCCTTTTATTCGTTTTCTCGTTGTCAATTTCATATTATCTATATTATGCAATAATCGCGAAACAAATGTTTGGTCGTGCAAGGATGCTATCCAAATAGGACCAGCAACGTAATGTTCGCCTTTGCAAAATTTACAATTTTTATCAGAAATTAAATGAGACCTAGAAAATTTATTAGAGTTTACTTTCATTATAGGTTGAATAGTAAGACTTTCACAACTAATACATTGATATACTAGTCCTGTTTTACTAGCATTATCTTTACATTTTAATTGGCTTCCGATAACTTTGACAAATACTCTTATATAAAAATCTGCGCTGACCGATAACAGTGGTACTATATAACGACCATGACGTCCTGCATGAGATGCAATCTGTTGTAACAAAATTCTTAATGCCATTTCGTGACAGGCTTTAGTTTTAAGAGAGATAGCGCCATATTTGACATAACAAGTTTCTGGTGTGTTACCAGCTAACACAGCCATATCCGTTGCCGTAACTAAAAGTATTCCACCATTTATTACGCATTGTACTGCAGCATCTAAAAAGGTCGAAGGACAACCATAAGGATCTAAATCAACGGCATGGAAACCTTTTCTTTTATTTTGGTACATGACCAGGATAGCATCCTCTTGACTTGGTTTTACTATATGTTCCACTCCATTATGTCGAATGTTTTCTTTCATCGCTTTAAGAGCTTCTTTTGAAAGATCATTAGCTATTATTTCTTTGATACCTTTTATTTCTTTGGCATATCTAATGCTACGCAAACCAGTCGCTGATAATGCTTCTAATATAGTAATACCATCTTTCTTAAAACATGATCCATCATTTGAATTTTTCACTCCATCACATTTAACATTTATCTCTTCGTTTAATTCTCGCAGATCTTCAGCGAAAAGTGACAATACAGCTATACTGAGATCTCTATTGAACTCTTGTACTGGATTATAAAATACATTCTTAGAAATTACCAATAATTCAGCTTCTCCTTCTTTTATGTATTTCTCGGTTTCTAGTTTTGCTATCTTCGTCGCTTTTTCACCATCCATATTAAAAGGAAAGAAATATGTGATAGCCTGAAAATATATTTTAATTAATATATAAAATAATGTCATTCTCTACAAAAATACATGCAACTGTTTATAATCATCACACTAATCTGAACTTTGAAATATTAATTAATAAATGTAAGATTTATTGAAAACAATCTATCTAATGCATGCTACAATTAATTGAGAAATAATTTGCATTCAATTGTGAGATATGATTAATAAATAAAATTAAATAAAATAAAATAAAGTAATTAATTTCATTTAATAAACATAATATAAATATTTTCCTTACCTACAGCTCGTTGTTCCTGTCCAGCGCAATATTTGTGAGGTTAAGGTGCAAATATCGATACTCATAGAGGTAGCTTGTGATTGGACGAAAGGAATCGATTGTACAAGATCGATATCCGCGTAATTTAAATGTAATAATCTATCGCTTATTTAAAAATGTCATTTAAATGTCATTTTAATTTCAAATTTTACATTATCAGTTTGAATTTAATTTAAAGATTTTAAATATGTAGCACGTCAAAGTAAATACTTATTTACAAGATAAGATAGAATAATGGAAAAATCCATGCGGTTATCAATAAATTGATAAGAAATACTGTCTGCGATTTATTCTCGGTGATTTTCTAGAAAATATTGTCATTTAATAATAAAAATAATCAGTTAAATAATTAAATAAGTATATTAAATATTTGTTTAAATAAATAATGCAAATAAATAAATATTAACACGTGGGGGGACACCTGAAACACCACGCATTTTCCATGACCCAGATAAAAGTAGTGAATTAACATTTTTATAATTGGCAGCATCAAATAAATATTTGATATTATCGTAATAAGTAATTTTGATGTGCCATATAGTTGATTTGTTAAATAATTCGTTGAAAAATAGTTAAAAATGTAAAAAAAAAATTAAAAAAAAATAATAATGCGTTGAAATATAATTTAAAGACATTTGCGCATGATGCGGAATTTTCGCAGCTTCCGCAACATAAAGGAATCAAAGTTCTGTTAGGGTTGTAGGTGGGGATATTGTTCTAGATGGAGTCAGCGATGGTTGTTCAGTCTCGTTCTTAGTCTCCTCTTGGCTGGAATCGCGCGAATTAACTATACTCCGGTATTTAATCGATGTTACTACGAAAAGTTACGCGTGTCCTAACTTAATACAAAGAAATATTGTGAAAATTGGTTTTTCTAAAACCAAAAAAAAAAAAAATATAACAATAATATACAAAACAATTTGTTCATTATCATTTAATCGAAGAAAGGAAGATTAAAAAGGTGAAACAAATCATTAATGCGTATTTCTTTTCATTAATCTTTTCAAATATGATAATCTAACACGTTCAACACACATGAGCACGTACACCCACACAAATGTACACATAGAATCTTTTTTCAGAACTGCAGTCATCCGCAAATAGACGATCACGTAAATAGTCAAAGATAAAATTTCTACTGACGTTATTTATAATATGCATAGTGTTCATTTAGAAAACGCGATATATAATATACACTGCAAAAGAAAATAACGTAAATATTTTTTTTCTTCCATCTTCGTTATAACAATTATTCGAGTAGCTTAGATTAGATATTATTTAATCAGTAAATTCTTTTTCAAGGATACCCTTTCTCTCTTTCTCTTTCTCTTTCTCTCGAGTTAAGAAAGAAATGTAAATAAAAAAAAAAAAAATCATTATATTATACTAGTAATTGGAACAAAAATCTAGGTCAAAAACATTCACATATATCGATACACGCCCTTATTCGTGACACCATTTTACATTGAAAGAAATGTTTTCGTGGAACGTTTTTAAGAACACGTGATTTTTCGTTATTAACAATCTTTCATTTGAAGAAATGTGTATGGTTCGATCATAGATCGAATGAACGATGATTAAAAGATGGTTTCATTGATTAAATCAAAGATTACGAGCTTTTACTTTGGATACCGCTGAGTTTCGAAAAACAGGTTCAAAAATGTACACTTTATCTATCTTTCTCTCTCTGGCCTTCTCTCCATCTCTCACTTTCTTTCTTTTTCCATTACATGGGAGGGTGGCTGCGTGCTTTCTGCTGGGGTAGATCGATAAAACACATGCGCTCTGAGGGGTACATGCTCCCTTAGGAAAGAAGCGCGTTCAAGAGCTTTCCAACTTGAGCTTTGTATATACACCGATAGAAAAACACAGGACACCAATACAAATGTAGTTCTACATTATTTCTTTCAAGCGTATTCATCGTTTAACCAAAGAAGAACAATCAACCCTGTCCACCCTTCCCAATCCCTATTTTAAAGTCTTACGACCAAAAGTTATTTCTACGAGCTTGCCAATTACGTTCGAGTAACTGCATCTCGCTTAGCTGGTGCATCCAATCGTTTAAAACGGGAAACAAATAAAGGGTTACTTTCTTTAGTCATTTTTTGTTTGTTTACAAATCTATACAGAAGGTAGTCATTTTTCTTCAATATTTGAATGGTTAGAAAGTCAAATGTTACAAGGTTCAAAACATATGGGACTTTTAGCACGATGCTAGCTCTATTTTTATACAATTCTATACGAATTACGTCAGGATTATGTCAAGATTATGTCAAGTTTGCGTCAAAGTTGTGTAACAGGGTAATAACTTTGGACAAACGAGAAAAATCATTTACTACTTTAACTATAATTTGAAATATTGCAATAACGTGCTATAATTTTACCTTAAAAAAAAAAAAAAAAGAAATGATTTACTGTAACTATAAATGATAAATGAAAATGATTTATTACTGTAATTATAATTTGAAATATTGCAATAACGTGTTATAACTTTAACTTTAATCATTCCATTCCAAATGAAATATCTAATTATTCATTTATTCGGTGGATAGGAACTCGATGACATCACGATCTTTTTTTTTTATTCACGATTACTGATAAAGAGAGACAGAGAGAAGGGAATCAACAAGTAAGTTGGCGAGTACATCGTTCGATTTCGATGTGCGAGTGTATTACCTAATAACACGTCACCTTTGATGCTAACCACGTTAACGAACAAACAGTCGTAATCTTTATTTATAGGTGTGAAATAATCTGATACTTAAACGACCTTCCTAGATGCATCAACTTCTTTTCTAGTAAATTTTACATTAGCTAGGTTTTTTTATTTTTTATTTTGTGGTATTTTTTCGAATCGAGTAGTTTGCAACGATTCAATCTAATGTGGTTTTTACAGAACATAATATGCGAATAACGGGGAAGTAAATACGAGAAATATACAATTCTATTCTACACTGTTTTACAGTTTACATTGACATGATTTCAATACAGTCATACAGTGTATAAGATAATCACTTATCCGCGACACAGTTCTTTCGAAAATATCGCTATTCTATAAGCACGTATTCACATACACACATATACACACATATGGTTGAAGTTACGAGCCGATTCTGAAATTGTATCCTCGTATGATCATTTATTTAAAAAGACGTGTCGTCACTTCGAGGGTTAAACAGCTGTTGTCCTTGATACGCGATCATTATATTATATTATTTTCATTCTTACTTTTTAGTTTTTTTTATTCTCTCTCTCTCTCTCTCTCTCTCTCTTATTGTATTATTATATTAAACGTAAATTCACGTGATGATTCGATTGCTTTTTAAAGTGTAAACTATGTTCATTTTTATGTACCTACTTATACATATGCATACAGATAGCATCTTTGTTTAAATTAGTTCAAAAGTAGAGTAGAAATTTGAGACAAAATGTAACGAGAGTGTTAATGTAAATAGGTTGAACATGCACGAACCTTTTTCTTGATTGCACGCGATAATTTAAACGATATCGAATCGATACTGCGACTAATAAAAGAACGAACAAAGTTTAACCCTTTGAGTGTTGAATACTTTTACCCCTAAAATGTTTAGTATTAATTCATTTACTTTTTGTATTAGTCTATAGTCTTTTGTATTGAGTCTATAGCATTCAAAGGGTTTAAAGGTCGTCGTCTCTTTTAAAGATTAAAAGAAGCTTCAATGATTTTAATCGATAACAAATGATATATCAAAGATTACAAAGTTATTTTGTAGATGTCGATATTGGAACATTATTATTAGGGATCCTGTAGGAGGGATGCGCTATTCATATTCAGCTCATGTGCCATTGGCTGAAAATTTTGGTGGACCGCTTAAATTTATAATAATTTTTTCGTGTAACCTATTCTATTTTAATATAAATTTTTAATTTTATCATTAAATATAGTTCATTTTTTTGAATCATTCGCGCGCAAAATCGAGTTCCGGTCCCCCAAAAATGTACATGGCGCATCCCTCATATAGGATCCCTAATTATTATAACTGTTAAACAAATGATTTTCTTGTCAGTTAAACAATTGTAAGTAAAATGGAGGCAGAAAAAAACGGTACTATCGAGAAAGAAAAGAATGAAACTATCGATGAACAAGGAACGGTAGTTACACCAGTTACAAATGAAGTTGCAAATATGAAGATTGAGGACAATACAGCGAGTGCAGGAAATTCAACCCCAGGTAGTCCAGCTGCTTCACCTGCTGGAAGTTTTGTAGCTAATTTCAAAGCTTTCTCGAAATTTGGTGATCCTAAAAGCGACGGCAAATTGATAACTTTAAGCCAAAGTGATAAATGGATGAAACAGGCTAAGGTAATCGATGGTAAAAAAATTACAACCACGGATACTGGGATTTACTTCAAAAAACACAAGTAATTATTTTGATGAAATCAAATTAAACAGAATTTTCTTACGAAAGCTTGCAATTAATTAATTTGTTCAATCATTTTCGAAGATCAATGAAATTGGGGATCGAACAGTACAAGGCCTTCCTCGAAGAACTCGCTAAAAGTAAGAAAGTCGATTTAACAGAAATGAAAAATAAAATGGCGAATTGTGGAGCACCTGGTGTTACTGGATCAGTCCATGTAAGTATTAACCCTTTTCGGACGTATTTAATTTGGACATGGGTGTCGTAGTGGTCGGAATTAATATATAATATATTCTGCCTGAAAGATAGGCAACCCGTCATACACACGTGTATAAACAGTTTTGACTGCAAACAAATTCCGTCCCAGTAAATGGCGCTCGCAAGCAACATTTTCAAAGTGTGTCTGGAGGGTTGCATTCATACAGGCTCTAGCGCATTTTTATAATAATTACAAAGAAAGTAAATAATAAAACACTTTAAAAAATATTTACAAATCAAATATTTTTATAAATAATGATTAAAAATTGAACTCTAATATTGTAATTAATTTATGCATATTTTTAGAATAATATTTAGTATTTTATATGAAATAAAAAATGAATTACAGGCAGGTAAAGCAGCTTCAACAGTGGACCGTTTAACAGACGTGACCAGGTACACTGGTTCCCATAAACAACGTTTCGATGAAAGTGGGAAAGGTAAAGGTATAGCTGGACGAAAGGATTTACCTGATCAATCAGGATACGTCCAGGGATACCAAAATAAGGACACTTACAATAAAGGTCACTAGCCCAGATACGATTTTTGTTCTCTCATCTTGAACACAACTATATTGTCCCGTCCAGGCAGTATGCACGTAAAAGCTTCGTCAGATTTTTTTGTAGAAACGTTTTCTTTCTGATGCCTGCGTACGGGTCCCTCACAATGCTTCCTCAAGGTCGTTTTATTATTTCATTCTTCGATCGATTACACATTCCGTGAGGAATCCCTTCTTTCTTTTATTCCTACCTATACACATGGATTATTTAAATAGAAAAAGATCGAAGAATGACAAAAACGTACGACCATTGATCGTTAAGATCCTGGATGATCTTTGATCTGTCAAATCTTAAAGTACCTAATTACAAAACGTCACGTTTTTATATTATCTAAATGGAAAAAAGACTTTTGTAATGCTGGATCGATTACTATAGTCTTTCAAAATATAAAACGACGTACGTTTCTGTGATAATCAGGACGAATACACTTAAATATGAACTCTCTGTCGATTATGTTGTAGATATTGATCTCCATTTTGAACAATATTTGAACAATATTTGAACAATTTTCAGAAATTATATTTGTGCTGTATGAGCAATAACAATAATATAACAATTTAAAAAGACAAACATAATGCTAACATATTCGAAAATGATATATTCCATTTTTCGCTAAATATTGTATTGTATTTTCATGAGGCAAAACAAACTAAAAAAAAAAAAATATATATATATATATATTAATATATTGAATCATATAACAAATATTTTCAAAAATATCATAATCGAAGGTTTCTTTTTTCTTTTTTTATTGTAATGCATTAAAAAAAAAAAAATGCTTTGACGAGAATTTTTAGGTGTGTTCTATTTAACCAAAATCAAAATAATTAATTATATAAATAAATAAAAATATACAAAAAGTTAATGCTAATGCAAACGATATATACGATCTTGTGATATT